AATGATAAGATAAAAGATATAAATAAAATAAAAAAGAAAATTGTAAGAAATTTTAAATTTACACTTTTTTTTAAAGAATTTAAAGTTTTATAATTTTAAGAAATTTTACAAATATTTAAATTTTAAATTTTTTATTTAATTAAAGTATTTCATCTAAAAAAATAATTTTTTTAAATAAATAAGTTATTCCATTTAAATTTTCTATTCAATCATATTATTAAAAGTAAATATCAAAATATCATGAAATTTTATATTGGCCTTTTGATTGATGGTCCAAAGTAGCAAATTTATTACGTAAGTAGCTCAAGTTGCGTAGAAACTAATTCTCCTACGTTTTGCACGTAAGAGATAAAAATTTGTTGTAAGCGTGGTGTATAGGCTTGATTCAATTCCTCGGTTTTAGGATACTTCAAAGACATACTTTGGAATTACTTTGTTTAGACGCAATCCATAGTTTAATTGATAGGGTTGTTTTGTAAAAACTTGTGAATCTAATCGTTCTCCGTGGAGTGTATTTATCTTTTGAAATTGCTTACATAGTCCGGCAAAGCATAATATAATATCTACTTGATGACGCTCAACGTCACTTTCTGTTTCTGTTTCTGCCCCGCTACATTACTACAACTACTTGGTTATCCGCTACCACACCACACAAAAAATAAATTCATGGTTTAGCGTCATAAAAGTCAAATCCTCTTAAGATGTTTTTTTCTTTATATGTTGTGAATGGATTCTTTGACAATTTTGATTATATCCTTCTCCCTAATTATACATCTTTAATTAAATTTTATTAAAATAACTATTCAAATTGAATATTTTCAAACATAAATGTATTCACTGCAAGTCTGGAACTTCCAATGAAAATTTATTTTACAAAATTAAATTTATCTAAAGTAAGTTTTAAACTCTAATATACATGTGTTAAATATTTGAGACAAGAATTTATTGATCATAATTTCATTCTGTGATTTTGTTTTAAAGACTTAATATGATTTATTCTCATTTAAAAAGTATCAAAATATGATTTTAATTTTAAATAAAGCTTATTTTTAGCTTTCTGTTAAGATGTTAGCGTTGGCAAAATACACCTATAATCAAATTTGTCATATAAAATCTATTTATAAGTGTTCTTGTTAATAAAAATATTACATTAAATTTATTGATTCTATTGAATTTACTGAACATTCAATCCATCATTGTCCAATGTTATTGATCGTTCGGAGGGACTGAAATATGTTTTCTAAAAATACAAAGAACAAAATAAATTAATTTTAAATTTGAAGAATAAAAATATTTTAAAAAAATAAAAATATTTATTACACACAAGTAAAAAAATTTATACTCGATGATTAACTTAAAAAAAATGTTGAAGCGTGTTATAGTTGTATAATAAAACCCGAAGCAATTAATTTCTTGCTGTGAATTAGGGACTTATTTGTTCTGCGTAAAGTCAATAGTAACTTCAAAAATCAAAATAATGTAATCGTATGACAAGTCAACGTGTTTGGTTAATATTTTGGGGAAGAAAAAAAACCGATTGATATGTTGTGCATCTAGCAGGATTCATTTCGAGTAAAATGGACATTAATATATTTCACAAGTAAAACATATTCTAAATAAAGGACCCATAAAATAACTTTATTTAATCATTTGACAAATAATTTCAAAGACTCTTTAAAAATACTAGTATTATTCTGAAATGAAAAGAAAAAAAAAAAGCATGTTCATAATTTTGTGGCATTAATAATGTGAAAATTCAAGTAAATGTAAGCAGAGTGAATCGAAATTATCTCTTTATATGGAAGTAACATGGCACAAAAAATTCCAGAAGCAGATCGTGCAAGTGCAAAAAACAGAGAGAAGTGAAATAAATCACATGGAATGAGAGGGTAAATGAATGGAAGGAACAGGTGGTGGCTGTGGAGAAGTCATAGTTGAAGAAGAAGAAAGCAATGGTGAAGATTGAACATTATGAGAAGACATGGGAATGTGATGATAGAGGGTTGGTGGGTTGGGTTGTCTGAGCCTAACATTTTCAGGAAAGTTGAGTTTGGCTTTGTTGCCTCTGAAACGCAAGGAGGCTTCATCATAAGCTCTGGCTGCAGCCTCTGCTGTTTGGAATGTTCCTAACCACACTCTGCTCGCCTTTATCGGGTCCCTTATCTCTGCCGCCCATTTCCCCCACGGCCTCTGCCTCACTCCTCTGTATTTCCTCCTCTCTTGCTCCTCTCTTCTACCCTTCTCTTCTGACTTGTATTCGTATTCGTATTCGTATTCGTATTCCCTATTCCTACTTGAACTCTCTGTAACTGTATTCCATAATACCATAACATTATAATAAGATCACTCTACTATCTACCATCCTACCTAACATTCTTTTTCAACTTCATTATTCCTACCTATGATTCTCATGCATGCATTACTACAAAACAATATAAAAATAACAATTTAAACATTCCTGGACCCATCAACATGTATTATATATTTATCATTTTAGACTATGATCATCTAATTAATTTGGTGCTTACTTGTTGAAATAGCAGGCTGCGAGGCTTCACGTGAGAATTCACCGAATGATGTATTTGTATTTGTATTTGTATTATCCTCTTCCCTCCTTCTCTTCAGAACAGAGTTGCCACCATGAGATGAAGAAGGTGCCACTGCCACAGAAGCACAAGCCATATTTGATGTCACAAAAACTTCACTATTGTTGTTATTATTATTATTATTATTATTGATACTGTGATCCTCTCCACACACGACATGGGTCAAAGCAGAGATCATGGCTGACATCTCCCTCTCTCGGTTCAGACCCGAAAACATGAATGGCACTGACAAAAGCTTCTCGTTACCCTTTCCACCGTGATTCGCCATGTAGCTTCACCTCTTTGTAATTTGCATGCACGCCCTCCAACTCAACCCAACCCTTTTTCATACCATGGAAAAGTTCAATTTGGTAACAGCCGCCATCAAGATTCAAGAATAGTGGTCGGTGTTTAAACAACACGAATGTCAGAAATGAATGCAACAGTGATAGTAATAGTATATGCTTTTTGAAGATTCAGTTTGTTTTGTCCTAGTTAAGGAAGGATGGGTCAAAAGCGTTTAGGTGTGAAAGCTGAAACTACGTTGCGTTTTTGTGGAGTGAACCAACTTGACGGTTCTCAACGAATCGGTCGGTGCTCACTGCTCACAAAAAGGTTACAACAGTAATTAGCCGACATCCAATTTAATTATTCTTTTTTTATATTTATTTTATGCATGATCGATCTTATATTTTAATTAACCCACTTCAAATGCAAACCACTTGTCGCCATATTCTCTTTTGTGTGCAAATTGGAATCATTAATTCTATTTCTCATCCAATGCCAAATGTATCCCATTCTAATTGCATCAATATGCAAGTTGCTTCTCACACTTGATATCAAATTGCCAAGTTGCATACGCCACTTCAATTTTTTCCTTATTTTCATTAATATTATTAAGCCTATTTCTTTAGGACCACACCATGAATTGGGAAAAAAAAATGTGTTTGCATTAGGTACATCTCAAAAGGTTAAAAAGAAGGTGCAATGGAACATCCATGCAAGTATTCAAATTGAACTCGTCTATTAGAGAAATGGTACGAAACGTGTACGTTTTTATCCGAACCACTTTTTTAAGGATTTCTTTTTTCCTTCCATATTATTCAGAAACCTATGAGTTTTTATATCTGTGGTGTCAAATTCTCATAAATAAATTAAAAAAATTAATATTTATTTATCATCAATTCAATAGTACCTATGCAACTTCCTTTTGGCTTAAATATATAGGGAAGGAGAGACGATCTTTGATATCGTTATATTGTAGGGATTAAAATATTATTATATTTGCTTGAACTAGAAAAATACTCTATTTCTCAGACACATAAAACTAAAAACCTAATGATAGTGTAACGATAATTCAAACTGAATCCAATTAGGCAATGATAATTTTAAAATAAAAAAAATAGGAAAAATTACAGAGATAATCACAATAAAGATTGAATCTAAATCTCCATAATTTTACCCTAAATTAAAATAGTAAAATATCTATTATAATGTTAAAATACAAGTGATAATTGAAGATGAAAATGACATTTTTAATATTATTATTAAAAATTAAATTAAGTGCAATAAAACTAATTTTGCTAGATGGGTTTTAAACGAATTTAACCCATGTTAAAAGCATTTTGTGCATTGAAAAAATGCTACAAACTCTGTTCTTAACGATTAAAATGAAAGGGGAGAAGAATTGAGAAATAAAAAAATAATAATCTGGTATTATAAAATTGCTGAGATGGTGTGGAATTAGCATTAAAAAGAAATGTGTATTAATAGTGAAAAATAAGATGAAGTTTTAGAGGATGGTTTATATTTATTGGTGAATTTGGCAGTTGTTGGAATCTAGAAGAAGAAAAGAAGGTTGAGGTTTAGAGAAGTAAAAGTTTATGGTCAACGCTTAGATGAGTCAAATGATGCGATAGAACGCGTATGTATGAATTCTGAAATGTGAATAGATAAAACGGTGGAGACATGGATGATGGATCCTCTCAATGATACGCGCAATCATTTATCATTTTCTCAATCCATCCATCTCCAACAATCAATTTAAATAACTTTCTCCATAACAAAATTTTAAAAAAATCTAAATGTTTTTTTCTTAAACTATATACATATATGGGTTGAAATATAAATTAAATGATAAAAAGTAAATACATAACATTTTTATATGTATTTAATTCAGCCATAAATTACTTTAAGAAAAAGTAATACAAAAAAAATTGAGTTAAAAAATACCCTTCTTAAGAATCAGAACATGTCACTATTTCACTATAATTTATTCAATATGTTATATCAAAACACTAATATAAAAATTACTATGAAAAATAAAATTTAGTTTAACATTTTTATAATATAGATTTAACTAGATAATAAAATTGTTACTTATTTTATTTAGATATGGCATTTTTATGAAAAAAAATAATAATAAGATAATCTTTAAAATGAATAATAATATTATAATTTTTTATTTTTTATAATTGATTATATATACAATGTAACAAATAAAGTTTATTATATTAAGAAAAAATCAAAAAGAAATTTGAATGTGAATCTAATTCTTAAAACAAGTTTGCTTTCATGTTAAGTCTACATTAATGTGGGCCTAAGAAGTAACTAATAGTTATTTTTATGTTATTTTTACCATGATTTGGACTAAATGTCAAGAAACACAAATTATTTAATGTGGGTTTAGACTTTAGATTATAATCAAAATTTTAAATTAAGTTGAATTTAATTTTTAAAAATTAATTTTTAAAAAAAGTAATAACTTTCTAACTTATGATTCAATTAAAATTTATTTATAATTCATATTCGGTGAAATGGGAAAAAAAATTGTTAAACATATGACCACAACATTTGAAATCAATTAACTAAAGTTACATAAATCAAACATACTCCTAAACTCTTTGCAATGTTGAAATAATATTAATGGTTAAAAAAAGTTCAGGTGTTTTATCAAGTACAACCCCATGAGTAAGGGAATAAGGGTTGACACAAAAATGATGAATAAATTTAATTTTTTCTATTAAAAAAATGAGAAATCTTATTCTGGTTGATGAACGCGTCAATGACATGTTGCCGTCCACTTGATAAGACAATGGCATGACTAAAACGCAATTTGCCAACACATGCAGGTAACGTACAAAGCTAAGGTTAAATCAGATTTCAAAGTTGACATACACATCCCTTCTCCTCTTCTTTTATATTATTTTTAATAAATTAAAGGGCATTCAAATATTTTATTAAATATTTTTTCATTTTAATATTAAAATAATCTTTTTACAATAATGGTTTCATTAGCTTTGTCCTTAATTTGTGCATAAGTGAAGAAGTAAAATAATATTGTTAGTATTTTAATCTATGGAACGCCAGGGATAAATATTTAGTTTATATAATTATAATTTATAATAGTAAATATTTTAATACTCAAATTATATTATAATCAATATTTAATGATAAATATTTTTAAAACTACATATTATATTTTAGGTTATTATAAATAATTTATAGAGTAATACAAGACTATTTTAATTATTTATAATTTAAAATTATTTAAATTTAATCTAAAAATAAAAGGGATAAATTCAAAAGAAATTGACAAAAAAAACTGTAAAACGCTATTATTAAAGAAAATTAACTGAAAATATCTAAATATGTAATTAAAATATATATAAAATATTTTTAAAAAATATTATATTTGAATATATAAATTATATTTAAATTTAATATAAGTAGGTATTTTTCAATATATAAATTAGGTTTTAGATTTAAGATAAATAAATATATTGTTTTAATAATTTATTTTGAAATATTAGAATTTATTTTACTTTATAAATATAATAAAGAAAAATAAAATTTAATAGAAAGTTAAAAGAATCTCTCAAAACATTATCGTCTAAGAATAACTTGTAAAAGTGTTCTTGTACGATATATATAGGAATTGATTTATCAATCTATCACCAAGTGTCAACTAACACAAAATTGTTTAAATTTAACTACAAATCTTGAGTTTGAGTCTAACTTTATTGTTTACAATAATTTTATTTGATTCAAATATAATTAAAATAAGATATGGTATAAAACTATCATTTTACTAATAAATTTTTGATGATCTTATCGATGAACTAGATTTCTCATCAATCAATTTTACAAAATTAAAGTGAAAAGAAAAAGAAAAGAAATAGAAGAGTGAATGTGTTTGATTGAGTAAAATTAAGAAAGGAGATAAAAAAAAAATGTGTAACCCACTAGTTATTTTTATTCTATTTCTCATTTATTTATTTTTATTTATCCTTTATTTGACAAAATTGGAATTGGTGAGAAATAAATAAAAATACATGAAAATTTAAAATTGAGTAGAATTCAAGAGTGACGCAAAGAATATGTGCTTATGACACTATTGCGTGCAAAATAGATGTGCACAATCCATTATACAAAAAATAATCGTTGAAACCCACCTACACAATCAATTTTTCACCTATCTTTGAAGTTCTTATCGTTTCTACAACTTTTTTCTTTTCCAAATTTATTTGTTGCACCGGTTTGAGGGTTGCTAATAAGAACAGTGTTTGGGCCTGAAATAGAAAAAGGTGTCTTCAATTTTGCATTGGGCAATGCAGTGGCCAAACTCAAACTGGGGGTGCTGAATTTTCAATTGGGTTGCAAATTTGAGGGCAAAGGTGATTTTCGTTTGTGGGGTGGAACCAATTATCACATTATTGATTTTTGCTTTCCTCTGCAATAAGGTCGTTGGAGTTTGCAACACTTTTTTGAAAAAGAAATGTTTACATCCATATTTCAAAGTTTAGCAATGTTTCCCCAAAAAAATTACATATTCAAAATGATCCCAAAACTCAATCAATAGGTTCCGATTTAACAACAATTTTTGACATTTTTGTACTTGAGCATCGTGTTCCACCATCTTCAAACAGAGAAGTGATTTTCAAACTATCCAATTATCATTTTCCGTTTGATTTGTTTGAATCAGTGTCAGCCTCAATTAAATAATCCTAAAAATAATAATGTAGCGTAACAAAAAAACATTAGTTTAAGCAACTTTTTCTTAGCATTGACTGCAACAAATTAATATATGTTTGAAAACAAACATGGTTCGTTATTAAGTTTGTAGAAGGAATCTATTGAAGTATTGATTATTTGGCCAATATAAAGGTCCATAACAGTTAATATGCTACCGTCTCAAGATCTTTCAAATATTTAACATACCTAATGTATAATACACAGATTAAACTTCTATTTTATATAAATAAAATTTATAATAAGTAAATAATTTTGAATATATAAATTACTTTTAATAAAAAGAAAACAAAAAAATCATATTAAAGAATAATTCCTAAAAATAATCTTATTCAAAATATTTATTCTAATTTGTATCAAGACTGAGAGATAATATAGTACACAAACAGATACAAATGAAATTAACACCATAAATACTATACAAAGCTCTAAAGATAATTTAGAACCCTTAATCTTGCATCACAAATGCTTTTTGCCCTAGAGCTGTTATAAAATAAATATTTGAGGTTTACCCTGAAGGGCTTTTGGGCCCAAAACTAATCCGGGGAAAATGCAACTCTAATTTAGAAAACTTTTAACTTCCACAAGCCAAGCACTCTTCTCGATTTGTTAAAGAGCACACCATCTGCGCCATCTTGGTATTATCATCCTCTTCCTCCACCTTAGGTTTTTCCTGCATTCACAAAAGAGATATTTAACATAAAAAATGTGTAAATTACATGAATAAGGATGATTAATCATAAAGAATTCTTATTACTTTGAGCATAGAGGTATCAACAGTAAACTTGATAGCGTCAGCTGCAGCACGTGATCGCAGATAATACATCCCAGTC